AAATATATGAACTTCTATTAAGGTTGGTTGTTATATAGATTTTTAAGCTAGGCATTATATTTGTTATGACAAGTATTTTCGTACTATAGCATTATGTTCTTATTGTTTTCCATTAAAAAAATGCACTCAAAGCTACATATTAGTGACAATTTACCTATTAAACATCCCATGCATTTTTTAAATAATAAAGTGGATAGCAATTTAAATTTGTCGATAGTTTAATTGTCAATGAGAATTCCAAGTGTAATGGATGGATACAATGCAAAAGTATAAGATAGTTGTCCATAATGGAGAACGACCGATAAAATAGGCCACAAGAATAGAAAGAAAAAGTAAGGCTCCCATCTTATCCCCGTGATTTGTAAGCCGCTGCCAAAATTTAAACTTAATTTTGAACTTTTTTAATCAAGGTTAATTTTTAGCATTGGCTTTTAAATCGTTAATGACACATCTAGTGAAGCACAAAACTCCTCTCGCGGAAAAGCAAGATATCCTCCTTTGACAGTTCAGCCAGGGTGCAAGTTCTGAGCCCGTGAATGGAGCACTCGAAATAGGAAGTGTAAATAGGAGGTTTAAAGTTCATGCCGCTGAGAAGCGTAATATTCTACACCTGTGTTCTTACTCTATGCGGTGAAGTACAAATTCTACAATGGATGTTGATCGGATGTGCTAAGAGGGAGAGGATGAACCTTGCTTCTTCCTTGATTTTGAAAGTTGGATCTAACTTGGTCTATTTCAGGGAGTCCAACAATCCTTTTCTGGGTGGCATGGATCCTTCTTTTACACGCGAAGGGCAATCCACAGTGCCTATGCATGCATGCGTACATGAGTGGGGCCCAACACACAGTGGCTAATATGCTTGATCTTGTTGTTGTTCCTCCAAGTAGACCTATTAGATATGACGGCCTCACCTATCGACTAACATGTGAAGCGGGGCAACACAAGTTTTCGCTCCAGTCTTTGAGGGGCCCACCTATCAACCAACGATATTGGTGAAGGGGGGCTGTGGGATGAGCGCTGAGGGCATGCCACATCACCCACCTTTTTATTCGGGGTGATGTGGGTAGAGGAGAGGTGCACGGACAGCCATGTATCCCACATCACCCATGATCCATCCACATGACTTGTAGCACTCTGTCATTAATGCGGAATGATGGGATGAAGAAACACACATGATAAAGTCAAATCTTCTTAATGGAATGGACTTCCTCCCTAGGGGAGTTCTGGTCCGGTGGCCATCCTTGGGCCCTGGCTAGATGTCGGGGCCTCGAGGTGGCAAAAACTTGTCCTCGAGCGGCCGCCATTCTCTGGTCACCTTCGTGAGCTCGAGGCAGCGGTTGACATCATGTGCCATCTTCTCCTTCATCCCTAGATGGGGCCCGTGGTGCCATGAACTCCGACAACATCTATAACATTTTTACTCATAAATCATTGTTATTTTTTAAAAAGGTCATACAACTTACTCACTCCGTCCACAAATATAGAGGATAATGGCCTCTTGTTTTGTCCAAGATTATATGGGATTTCGATTATTCCAAGACAAAAGTACAACAGAGGCAGAGGCATGTTTCAAATTCGAGTTTGAAATTGTAATGTGTGTAAGTGGTGCCATTTTTGTAGAAGTGGTGGAAAATGCTCTGACAAACTCATTAATGCCAATTTGGTTTGCTTGTTTACCAACTTGCCAAAAGCACCAGTTTATTCTCCAATGTGTACTTCTCCTGTCTCATAGATGCATCTTCTCTTCTTCCTTAATGATTACCAAAAAGGGAATACTCCCTTATAATCCTTATAATCCTGGACAGAGGGAGTATTATATCAGCATATGGTCAACATATGGGAGCTTAAGCATTTTGCACCTTGTAGTACACCTCATTTTAGCTTGCACCAAATTTAGCAAATCTCACTGTGAAAATCCAGCTGAAATATTACAAGGTTTAATTCGCTGAGTTTTTTTTCAATTTCTTAATATATTATGACATAAACTGATATAAAGTGAAAGCGTGTGATGATAAATGGTGCAGATCAAAGTGAGACAAAGATGCACTTTACATGGTGCAACGTGTTAACTTAGGCCATGTACAACACGTTGCTCTGGCCTGTGGTCTCACGGCTCCACGTCGGAGCTGAGCCGAGCTGGCACCCGAGCTAGTGGTTTCGCAGGCCAGCAACAAGCTTGCAGAGGAAACGCTCCAAGCGCCGCGCCTGGGCCCGGGAGCCGCGAAGCCACGGCTCGAGAACTTGCGTTGGAGGAGTCAGAGCCCCGCGCGTCGCCTCGTCTGATCGGTCCCCCCGTGCACCTACCCCAAATCCCCATCTCATCGTGGTTGTCGTCGTCCGCTGCTCTCCGCCGCCGCCAGATCCGGTGAGCTCATGGCCGGATCCACCACCGCCAGTGGCCCCTCACCGTCGCGACATGGGGATGGAGGGGAGAGGCCAGCTGATGCGACGCTCGTGAAGAAGGGAGGGGGAGAGGATCCGCCGCCGCCGATGGTCCCTCGGCTGCTGCGAGAAGAGGGGGGAGAGGGAAGAAGTTGGCGGCCAGATCCGGCACTGTCGTGGGAAGAGGCCGCCGCCGCTCGTAGAGAAGGGAGGGCAAGAGGCCAACGAGCTCGCGGCCAAATCCGCCGCCGCCGCCATGGGGCTCCGCCATCGCCACTCGTTGTCCCTTCCACCGCTGCCGCTTGCAGAGAAGACGCGGGGGAGAGGCCGGAGCTAGATGGGGAGCAGGGGGAGCGGCGCCTCTGTGTCGGAAGAGGAGGCGGTGCCGTTGAGAGGAGGAGGAGGAGGTGTTGAATCGGTTGGAGAGGAAGAGGATAAGATAGAGGCTGCTAGGAAGAGAAAATAAATGAGAGAGAGAGAGGATTTGAGAGGCTGACAGTGTGGGTCTATATATAGATTAGGGGTATCTGTACATTTCTTTTTGATGTTAGAAGGTCTAAAATAGTTAATTTGTTAATAACAAATATCATAGGGACTAACACATAAATAGGTAGAGATTGAAACACAAAAATACACTTAGCAGTGATCTCCATTATAGATATCGTGGTTTTTGTGTGGGGTTATCCTATGTGGCAACCTGAGACCACAGATGCTTGTGGTCTCCATGACACATACCCTTCGTACACTTTATAAACGGATTTTCTATACAACTGTCGACAGTTAACAGGTGTGAAAACTTTCAAATTTTAAGTCGTCTAATATGCTTTGAGATTTGTGGTTTTTGTGTGGGGTTATCCTATGTGGCAACCTGAGACCACAGATGCTTGTGGTCTCCATGACACATACCCTTCGTACACTTTATAAACGGATTTTCTATACAACTGTCGACAGTTAACAGGTGTGAAAACTTTCAAATTTTAAGTCGTCTAATATGCTTTGAGATTTGTGCTAGTGAAGTAAAAGGGGAAAAAATCAGACGCATGCAGCAGGGATCAAACCCAACACCTCCAACTTAGAGGTTTGTCCAGCTAACCAGTTGCTCCGGCGTGCTTTTTTGAGTTACACTCGAGTTACATAGTAGTTACAATGTATTTATATAGTAGTTACATTTGAAAGTTTTTCATCCAAAAAACTGTCGACAGTTGTATAGCTACTCCCCTTTATAAAACCTCCCAGATAAAAGAGATCTGCACACATCCATTTCGCTGGGGCACCTTCCTACAAGAATTTCACGCTTTTTTTTTATTACAGAAAACGGTTAATTTCCCATCGGAACTAAAAAGAATCCCTATGCTACTGAAGGGCCCTCGGAGAGTTGGCCATCTGTACAGTTTATCACCAGTTGAAACGTTCAGTTTATCACCACCACCTGCACGGAGCGCACGCCGCGGCATTGATGAACCGTGCGAGGCGAGGTGCCTGCACCAAAGCTGCTTGTTGCGACGAGAGAGGAGAGCAGCAAGTGAGAACGGGAACGCGCCGCGCCGCGGCTGCACGTACGGCTGCATGCACGGGCACCACAGGCCACAGCGCGCGGCATGGCAGGCGGGGCGGGCGACACGGGCGCTCGGCTCCCGAGGGCAAAAGCCGCGCGTGTGCGCTGCCGCCGCTGCGGCTGGCTGGCTACGGAACAAGGCTGTTCTTTTCGGAGGCCACACCCGTGGCCGGCCGCGAGGTCGACGGAAAGCGGAGACACGTCGGCACGGTGCACACAGTAATAACAACTGCTGCAACACCCTCAACCAAAAGCGCGGGGGTGCATGTATGAGCACGAACCCAACCCACAACTATCCGATCCGACCCAACCACTCATCATGACACACCGTCTAGGTGAGGTGAGGGTAAAAACTAAAAACGGTGGAAATTTACCATTTACTGCCGATTTGTCGGCTAGTAGTAGTACTCCTAGTATTATCCAGTTCGAACATGCACGGAGGCAAAATGCACGACAAAAATAATCAAGAAACTATGTGCCAGTTTGATTTGGTGCTATACCAAAATCTTGGTAGTGTCAAAGTTTGGGTAACTTTTGGCACTATCAATTTTGGATGGCCAAAATTTTTACCATCTAAGAGATGTTTTGTTAAAATTGGCACCAATACAAACAACAAAAAACACTATAGACAATTGCCAATGAATTGGTAGGGCACAATTTGAAACCAAACCAAACTAGCCCTATAGTGAGAGAAAACGCTGCCTTTTGCTGAAGCACACCGCTAGATCTTGCACTGGGAGTTCCGTAAGATCCGTTGCATTCAATCTAGTACGGTAGATACATGGGACGGTAGGATCCGTTTTGCTAGTGGAAATGAGAGACTGGGGTGGATCGGTAGATGATCGGTAGATTAGCAGCAGACACTGGCATCCACCTTGACCCCCAAAGATTCGACAAAAAGTACCGTTTGCTAACAAAAGATTGAAAAAAATTCTTACCAGTCCCAAAATAAAAAAAAAGTGAAAAAAAAAGTGTGTGCTTGCGCCGTCAATGTAACCGTTACTCACTTGACCAAGTTACTCTCACCACTTGAGACATGAGAGCATTAAATTACATCCCAGTATTCAGATGATCACGGTCACGGGGTTAATTTTTATTTACTTGATTAAAAGTACATGTATTCTTTCCTTGTATAGTGAAAAAGTTAAGGAAAAAAAAAGAAAGTAACTTTTTCTAAAGGAAAACGGCATGCTTGCTAGTGCTAGTGATGGCCGATGGCTCCGGCGGCGGCGATGAGGTCACCGCCTAGCTACCGACTTCGCGAGCCGCTCCACCTTGACGGCGATCTCCGGCGGTAGCTGAACGGCGGGCCGCGGCCGCTCCTTGCATCGCCGGAGGTCGAGCCCCAGCGCGTCGGACACGTCCTCGGAGCTCCACCCGGCACGGCGGAGCGAGTCCGAGCACCTGTCGGCCTTCAGGAGGAGCGCGTCGAGCACCGCGTCGGCGTCCACCGCCGGCGCCTCCTCGCCGTCGAACAGACCGGAGGCCGTCACCTCGACCATCTCATTCACCTCCGTGTCCCTCCACCCGCCGCTCTTGAGGACTGACCCGAGCCTGTCCAGGTAGGTGTCGACCCAGTGCGGGGTCCTCGATCTCCTCGCCGGCGGCGACGCGCACCCGGATGACGACGACGCGGTCGAGGCCTCCGAGGAGGACGAGTCACGGCGGCGCCGGTCGGACGCGGCGTCGCTCCAGAACTCGATCCAGCGTGGGGCTTTCCCGCCGCAAGCCGCGTCGAGGCTGCGGCGCATGTACGGCGTCGCCTCGCCGGAGGACGGGGCGACCGACGACGACGACGAGGGGGGGCGGAGGTCGAGCGGCTGGAACGAGGAGTCTCGCGTGAAGAAGTGTAGGATGTCGAGGCCACAGCAGAGCACCCGGTCGTCGGTGACGAAGAAGATGGGGTTCCCGGCGAGGCAGGGGCGGCAGGGCAGGAAGCAGCGGTCGAAGAGCGGCACAAGCAGCGGCGCGCGGCGGATGGAGGAGCGCGCGAGCCGGAGCGCCCTGTCGGGGTCGGCGGGCCTCGGCCCCCAGCACCGCGGCCACAGCGCGCCACGCGCGATCTGCAGCGACGCCGCCGCGATGGGCAGGTCGAACGCCGACCGGAGCCCGGCGCGCGTCCGCCAGTCCGGGAACCCGGGACCCGACGGGAGGCCCATGGCGAGCACCGCGCGCAGGTCGGGCGGGAACGCGAACCCCATCTCGGCCTCGGCGCGCGCCAGCTCCGCGTCGGACAGCCCCGGGAGCACGGCCACCCCGGACGCCCTGAGGTGCGACAGCACCGCGCCCGCCAGCGCGTGGAACGAGTGGAGCCCGTGGCGCGGCGAGGCCGACGCCGACGAGGGCCCCGCGGCGGCGCGCGTGGACAGCCGCCGCAGCCCCGCCGCGTGCGCCGCCGGGGACAGGCCGGCCATCCGGCGGTCCACGTCCACCATTGCCACCGCCTCCCGTACGGCGACCGCCCCTAGAACGCGCACTACCAGTAAAGCTTCGACAGATGACAATGGCTGTGGCAACGAGGTAGACGAACTGGACGAACGCTGGAGGGAGCAGAGGCGAGGTGAGGGATGGAGGAGACGCGGGTTATATAGGGGAGGAGGCGGCCATTGCGTCGCGGTACGGGTGGTGGGGCCAGGGGAAGAGATCGAGGGGTAGGGGGAGCAAGGCAAGCAACGGGGAGGAGGCGGAGGAGAGCACAAGGCGATTCTTTGAGTTGGCGTCTCTTGGTGGTTTCCCTCCTCGCTGGTAACGAACAAGGCGGCGTACGTGACCTCGCCCAGGATTTGTCTCGCGGCTGCTAGTTTTACCATGCCTAATCCGCCGAGTAACAACGAGTAGTAACAACGACAGATGAACCCTGTTCCGATGAGATGACCAAACGTACGGCGGGGATTTCCGGTGAAAGATGGAATTGGACGGCCCCAGTACATCTGGTAAGCGTAGATACTCCTACGTAATATGGGTAGAGATCGCCTGGAGTTGAAAAGTTGCAAGTTTGCAACCCTTCTATCCACCGTTGGATAAATAGTGGTCCAGATCACTGACAAATCTAAAGAATATCTAAAGTTCCGAACAAGGACAAGTCCTAGAGAAAAAAAAATCCTTCGAAACATTAATGGTATGTTCCGTTACTATTTAAACATATTCAGAATAATTGTAAAGATTCTTAAAAATAAATCGACTATAGAGTCCTATCATGTAAAATTTCATACAAACTACATGCACACTTTGAAAAGAAGGGTGCAAATTCGACAGTATAACTATATACAGTACTACATTCACAGCCCCAAACTTCATTGTGTAATTGAGATTTAATTTGTAGGATGGCTTATGCATACTTAATACTTTATCAATGTATGCCAACTTTTCAAAAAAAAATCATAGCCACTTTGTTTTGGTTAAAGCCGGATCAAAGATTTTAAGTGATAGGGAAAAGACCACAGATGTGGTCGTGGTCCTCGTGGAATCGTGGGGGTGTAAAACTTCATCCATCAGTGTTTGAAACTTGGTGCTCACAAATACTATATATACACATGGATGCACATAAAAAGTGAATTCAGTGAGGCTAAAGATCTGTTACTAACCTGAAAACCATATATATAGTGTAAACATGAAAACTACCATAGAAAAAAAAATGAACGTTTAAGATTCATTCACGTCATCTCGAGTAAAATTTTTACTCACAGTAAAACTTTTACCCCTAGTTAAATTTGAATGAAAATGCTACATACCGGGATTCCGTCGGGCTATCCAAAGAGAAGCGAGAGCTGAGCGCCTGAGCATGTGGAGGAGATTGCTGCCGCCTGTCCACGAGGACCTTCGGCGCAGTTGGGGAAGAAGACCCACTCGGCGAGGGGAGGACGCGGCCGCTGGCGACGAGCCCCGCGCAGTGAGCTCCTGCGACATCGAGGACCTCGTTTGCGTCGCGTCGAGGCAGCGACACATCGTGGCCGAGCCGCCGGCGGGGGATACATCAACGAAGAGAGGAGGGGCGTCGGTGGCCGGAGCCAGGGAACAGAGTGATGGTGGTGGCCGCCTGGCCGGAGCTAGGGAAGGGAGGGGCGGCGGTGGCGGTAGCCAGATTTGGGGTACGGAGCGGCGGCGGTGGCCGGAGCCAGAGGAGGGAGGGGCAGTGCGGCGGCGGTGCCTAGAGCCAGGGGAGGGAGGGGGCGGTAGTGGTTGTCGGCGTTGGTGCCGGGTAGGTGTTCGGTTTCTGATACGCAGTTGAAATCACCTGATATCTAGTAAGTATCGTCTAATACCTCATAGGTATCACTTGATACTTTGAAAGTATCACCTTCTACGTGGTAAGAATCATATGATACCTTACAAGTATCACCTGATACTTCACAAGCATCACATGATACGTGATAGGAATCGCCTAATACCTTATAGGTATCAGGTATCACCTGATACCTCGCAAGTATCGCCTGATACCGGTAAGGTATCAGGACCTAATACCTAACATGTATCAAGTATAACCATCAAGTATCAGGCGATTCCTACCACGTATCAGGTAATACTTGCAAGGTATCAGATGATACCTATTAAGTATCATGCGATTTTTACCACATAGATGGTGATACTTGCGATGTATCATGTCCTGATACCTAGCCGGTATCGGGTGATACTTACCAGGTATCATGCGATTCTACCATGCATCAGGTATCAGACGATTCCTATCACATATCAGGCGATACTCGTGAGGTATCATGTGATACCTATCAGGTATCGTGCGATTTCTACGATGTATCGGGGTGATACTTGTGAGGTATCAGATGATACCTACCAGATATCAGGAGCTGGGCGTCGAGGCGTCGTCATCGGCGGCCGCGTCCTCCCCCGTCCACGGTCCACACCGAACCCGAACCTCGTCGCTGGCAGCCGCATCCTTCCCCATCCACGGTCCATATCGGAGCTTGTCGCCGGCGACTGCGTCCTCCGTCGGGAGCTCGTCACTAGCGGCCGCGTCCGTCGTCCATGCCTCAACATGCGGCCGCGTTCTCCACGCCGGAGCTCGTCGCCGGCGCCGCCGCCATCACCACGCAGGATCCTCCGCCGTCCACGCCCCACATTGGAGCTCGTCGCCGGCGCCGTCTCTATCACCACGCAGGATCCTCCGCCGTCCATGCGACCATGCCCCACGCTGGAGCTTGCCGGTGGCCGCGTTCTCCACGCCGGAGCTCGTCGGCGGCGGCCGCGTCCTCCACGCCGGAGCTCGTCATCGGCGCCGCCGGAGCTTGTTGTCGGCATCGCCGACGTCAGCTCGTCTACGCTCGCTGCTCCCACGGTGGCCCGCGCTCTTGTGTCTCAGGGAGGTGGAGAGGGAGCGATCCCGTTGGGTCAGTATCCCAACGGGATACCGGTATATAGCAGTTTCCCAATTTAAAAGCATCTGATATGCCCATTTTTCAATTCTACGGTTGTTTCTAAAGTTTGCACTACATAAATAGTTTGCAACACATATTTTTTTTTTACTTTTGCTAAGGGGATATATTTTTGGATGAAAGGCAACGGCATGGTGGTTTAGTATGTGTTGTGTGCATGATGTGATAGAAGGAAAAAAAATATTTGAGTGATAGAACTGTGCAATGCAAGTTTATGACCCACCAACCCCTACGATTACATCGTTATCTTAACATTGAACCAGCTACAGGGTAAGATCCAACAATGGTACATGCTGCCCTGTCCTACGGCACCTGATCTCAGAAGCCAAATGGTTGGAACGTTTGCATGTGGAGCCTCTGCAAGAAGAGAGACCCATGCAGCGAGAGAAGCGATTGAATAGTTGGATCTGCCTTTGCGGAGAGGAGAGGTTCAATGGTTGTTGAGTTGGCTGAAATGTTCTTCTCCAAGGCTACTAAAATATTGTTCTTCCCATAAATTCGAATGGTTTTTCCCTGATTTTTTCCAATGACAAAAAAAAAGAAAGAAAAGAAGATGCTTTCGCTATTCACATTCCGTAGTCACTGACTCACTGTACAACCATGTGTTCACTGAACATTTTATTAAAAGACATAATCTAATCTAGATGAAAAAGATGAGTTGCACTTTAGACTTTTTAGTCATTAGATAGTATTATTTTTTAGGGCTAATATAGTTATGATTGAAGCGACCCGCAATGTGAAATAAGTGCATGACTATTGTATTTGAGTCCGAAGCAACGCAAAGTATATGCATTCTCAACATGGCTAGTAGGAGTACTGAATTTTATATGCATTTTGGACAGAACAGTTTGCTAATCATCATTCTACACGAGTGACACTGAACTGAAGTACTGAACTTCTGAATTTGCTGTTCAAACTGAGTGCGTTTGTGTTTTTTTTCTCCCTCTGAACGTCTGATATACTAGTAACTTGCATGGCCACGATTGCCATCGCCTTTCGGTGATTGCAGTCTTGAAGACACAGTAGAGACACAAGCTAACACCAGTGTATAACACCTAACTCTGCATGAACATTTGGCCCGGACAAGACGCACACCTTCCCAAACTGGCTTGTTATGGTTGGCTCAGTTGACTTACTAACCGCAAAAGCCAAAGCATAGCTGCTAATGACAGTACTGATCAATTAATCTGAGATGAGACAAGAAGAAAGCAGGTCGATCCGTTTCTCGTCAGAGCTCCACTACATTTCACTCTTCCTGCTGATGATGGTCCACAGCATTAGCAGCTGTTGTTATCTGATCTTTTTGACGCACGGAGCCTCCAAGTAGGTGATCAATATATGCCTTGATGGTGAGTGTGTGAGTGAGGTGGCGAGACTTCGAAGAGCTCAGCTCGCGCGTAGTCGCCGCCGCCTGACTTTTGATGCCTGTTTAGTCTCACGTTTTCGACTGCAGATATGGTGTTTATTTCCTAGCTTGGTCAATTGCTTGCAGAATTTGGCCGCGCCTGCTGGAGGTGAACAGTTGATTGGGCCTTGTTGTCAAGGGAATCGTCTACCTTCCTCCTTTCTTTCCGATGACATTTTTTTTAAAAAAAATATATATTCACGATGACATTTTTGGGGGATATCAATTAATTTCATCCCTATTTTTTTTCACTTAATCCGTCCCTAAGAATTAGGTGTGTGGAATTATTCTATTGAGATGTGGAATTAATCTATTTCAATTCCCTCCGATACCTTTCTCGTGAGGATTAACCTAACACGTTCTTAAAAGCCTTGTTCGTCAACTCCCAAAAGAGAGGAATTTAAGGGTACTTTTTTCCAACTCTATAATGATGTGAAATTATTCTTCCTCAATCCCTTTCAATCCCCTCCAAACCGAACAAGACAAGGAATATTTTCTTGCTTTTCATGCTACATGAATAACCGTGAAAAAAAACAATGTAGTAGATCAATATGTAAAAAGATTTGACAAATACAAAAGTTGTAATAAAAAGAACAAAAATATTTATAAAGTGATATATTACTCACTTATCTATCTTGTAAAAAAAATTCACAATTTTTATGGATATATGGATGACATGCGAGAAACAGGGTGATATCCATCTTCAAATTTCAGTTGATGCAAATAGATGTGTGGTAGTGTCTATGTTACATGAGGCTCACAGTGGCCTACCACTCAATCAGTTTATGTTCCAGGAAAGATCAGGACACAAGCTCGAGCCAATTACAGGATTGATTTGTCGGTCTTAATGATTGGATCGACTGGAGTGCGCACTAATACAGACTATTATGCATGTCACCATGGTCAGTTTCTAGGTTATATTAGCCTAGCTTGGACATGACCAGCAGTCACACTCTACACGAAATCATTCTCCAATCAACCGAGACAAAGGGATCGATAGCTCCACGATCGATTAGTTCAGATCACCCGTCATAAAA